ATTTCCTTGGCCAAGACAAACTTCTTTTCACTATGGATATCAAACATTTTTTTGATTAACGTACTGTCAAAGAACCTAGCTCTGAAACACTACTCCGCTCAGCCAACCTGGTGCTAATAGCTTTCAATTGAAGTTGTCAAATATTGTTCCAATTCCCTTACCCCTTTACCTCCCATTAGTGACCAAGAGAGAATTTCTCCCTATAATATCAATACAATATCAAGCATAGAAGTGATGAGAATAAAGTAAAATATCAATTGAGGATTATTAGCTTTTCAAATACCAAACTCTCTAAATTTACATCATAGGAATTGTATGACAGACAGTGAGGAGAATTACTAATGTGATCTTGGGAGTTAAAGAGTTAGGTAACCGGTGGGACTACTCAGTACGTACTCAAATAGTAAAAGAAGGCACTATTAGTAATTTACGTGTTACATCGGAATGCACTCGTTTCAGCCGATCAGAAGGGCGTAATTTTCTGATAGACGTTATTTTAAAAGTAAGCAAGTTTACTGTTATGATTAGGACAGATGCCTTCTGCTTTGGAAACTTCTTGCAAATTTGGACTTATTTGTAGGATTTCGTTCATATGCCTCGAACAACGTTAACTTGTAACTAAATGGTTTACGGGATGAAACGTTTGATCGGGAAAGAATGTGGTGTTTCAAAGGAGAGGAACTCGATCTTCTGCAACGACACAAAATAACAACAGCTGAAAAGTCATTTACGCGTCATATTAATTTTACTCAAGGCAGTCATGTTGTCGAGGTAGACGATGCATTTCGAAATAATACCGTGCACGTAGAGCCCTTCATGTCACGATATACGTCTGTTCATCAAACAACGTGACAGCTGTTTGCGTGTTTTTCTGCAAAGTTTTACCGCTTCATAAGGTTTTAAACAAATTTCTTGCTTGGCTCACAATTTTTTAACAAATCGACTCGAACGTTATCTTTCAATGAACAAAGAATATGAAGAACGCTTTCGGAATAATTTGCCCCAGACGCATGTTATATAATACGCTCTTCAATTTTTAATTTTGCATCAAACAGTCTCCTACACCGTTCAATTTTAATGAGTTTTAGGAGAAAGAAATGATCCAAATTATTATCTACAGTTAATTGTATTTACATTAACTGATCCGTTCAAGAAAACCGTATGTTTTCCTTTACTTAAATCATAAAAATATTTTTTTTTCGGAGCGAAGAGGCATATATGGTTATCATTTCTCAATGAGAGATAATTTTCATGAAGGTGATGAACGGATTTTGTCGTGACACATCCAAGATATTTTGCTTTAACTCTCTTCTAAGTGCGTAGATCTATTTCCAAATTTGCATTAAACATTCATCCTACTGTGATAAATTTAGCTCAGAGAGGGAACGAGATCTTTAGCGCCTAAGCGTCTAGAAATTTCTTACTTAGCTCAAAATTTCTTCATAAGGCCACTCAGGTGTTATTATCTCTTAATGAGATATAATCTTCGTTAAATTGATAAATAAACAGTGTAATAACACTTCCAGGATAATTTACGCTTGACTCCGGCATGATCCATGATGCACTGCTCTAGTTCTAATTTTGCCTTAGAAATTCATTTTACACCATTGAATTTAAGAGCCATAGCAAAGAGAGAGAAATGCTACTGAATTATTATTTTATGTAAAGTTCATTTACATTATTGATCCGCTGACTTTTCCGGTGCGGTGAACCTTGTGAATTCTTTTTACTAGAACTAAGAAGCTATTTCTTGGAGCGAAGAGGCATGCTCTTATATCGATTGCAGTCTCATTCAAATTTTTCTCTGCCTTTAATATTCTTTTCTCTTAAGTATTTGATTTTCCTAAAGTATCTCAGCTCTGACGCGCTTGGTGTAAATGCATTACTTCACTGAATATTTCCCGGTTGATATTCGTTATTTGTTTGCAGAATATATGAGGGCATACACCCACATTACTTCTTGATCAGTTGAGATTCCCTGGTGAGGTTTCTCCTGCGAAGAGACGGGCTTGTGACATGGTGTTTTAATGCAAAGGTCAGTTTAATCGGAGGGATCTTAACGGAAATTTCTGTCAATATCATGGTAATTTTTTCAAGGTGTTTATGTAGTTGGAGTAGGCAATGAGTTTGAACAAATATTGTGCCACGTAGAACCCTTCGTGTCACAATAAATTAAATGCCCGTTTATTCAAAGATGTAACAGGTGTTCATGTATTTTTTTTACTGAGTGGTAAGGCTTTTGAAACAAATTTCTTGCCTGTATAACCTGTATGAAAATTTCTTTAAAAGCCGACTGGGGCGTCATCATTCCTCAAAATGATGAGTAAAAAGCGTAAAAACACATCCAGTATAATTTGTTCTGGACACATGATACGTGATGCACTATTCTATTTCTCTGTCCGCATTAAACAGTCATCTAACACCATTGAATTTAGATAAGTTATAACTATGAGAGCGAAATAATGGTAAATTATTGTCTATAATTAAGTGAATTTATATTAAGGTATCACAGAAGGAAAAAAGTCATATTTTTCTCAATTTCCTAAAAATGTCCAATGAAGAAAATAAAGATTTACTATTTTCTGAAATTTCATTTTGGTATCTTTTTTACTCCAGGAGATGTAAAACAAAAAGTATCATGAGGGTACAACGGAAGGCACGAGGTCGAGATCGATTACACTTCATGTCAACGTCTTCTTGTCACCCAATAAACGATTACAAACCATTATTAACGTGCAGATCACGTTCCAATCAAAACAAGGATGTTATTAAAATGCGCGGCCAAATTAGCTTATCTTGTGAAACGAGTCGGCGTTTTCATTTAACTTGGGTTTTTCCGGCTAACGGGGGAATAGACAGTGTCGTGACTAAATGTTTTAAAGCAAAGATCAAAAGTTTAAACGGGGGATCTTGTATCAATACGACAGGATTAAGGATCGGTATCGGTGAACTTTTTTCCGATCAACTGATCAGAAATTCAAAGTTCAGTTCTTAACAAAAATTACTGAGAGGTTATCCTCGGGGTAATTTGTGAATACCCTGTCAGTTTTTTTAAACCTTTTTTCCAAACTACTATCGATCTTTGCTTTTACGCCGACTCTTTTAGATGCACGTTACAGTAGTGCATTAATTACAAAAAAATCCGATTCGTTTTCCTTCAAAGAGGATCGACAGAGCTCTCTTACAGAATACGTTTCTACAAGGAATAACTGAGTATATTTGGAGTTTGAGTAGTCAATCACAATGC